TGGCATGTATGTATTTGCACTACATGCATGCAATACCTGTAGACGCCAAAAGGTGGCATCCGATTCCCTAGAACTGGAGTTACAGATGGTTATGAGCCACCACGAAGGTGCTGGTAATAGAACCTAGTCTAGAAGAAAACTAGTGCTCTTAACCACTGAGCCATCTCTCCAGCCCCTGTGAGAGTCATCTGCAATGTTTGTTAGGACTGGTGTCCCTTATACACTCATTGATTATGAGTCCACTCTGCTTTGGGAAGCACTATTCTGGACTAAGTGTGTTGAATTTTTAATTTCTTGATTATACTACTCTGCTTTGGAAACATAAAAATCATAGGTGTCAGTTATAAATTATTTTTCATATGAATTTTAGTTTTATGAGAAACATCAATTGAATTTGAATATGTTGGAGTAGTTATATGGATTTGAGGTCATTAATTAAGCATTATAGTAGTTCATTCCTTACTTCCAATAACTATGAAGAACGTTCACAATAAGAAAAGCATAATTTTCACATGCAACCTCTGATTGTCCTTTATTCACTGTTTTCAAGGATCCCGAAAACAACGTGATTTTTCAGTGGAAAAATGTGACCACTCTCAGAAACATCACTCAGCTCTCTTTCCATCTGAGTCCAGAGCCAGTGTTTGGGGATTACACAATTGTCATAAGAAAGCAATCAGGAATGACAGTGGCGCATCAATTCACCGTTAATCAAGATGGTAACCGAGTACTGCTTCTGATTCTCCTACAGACGAGTTCAAAGCAACAGAACAAAACTTTTGGGACCCGGGCAAAAGTACCTGAAGCCACATTGGGTCTCGGCTGCTTGCTTTTCTGTCACATCCGGAGTCCGTTCTTTGCCCAGTCTTGACTCTAATCCTTGCCCAACTCCCCTCACCTAAGAAATATCTCATTTTTTGAGATTCAGATACTCTCCTAGAAAAGATGGAAGAGCTAAAATATAAAAAAGAGTGCATTTTTGAGGCTAGCCAAAATAAACAAAACTAAACAAGCCACCACCAAAAACAAACAAAACCCACAGAATAATTGATCTTTAATGAGGTACCATCACAGACCCCGGTGCACCTCAGGGCTCTTGAAGGAAAGCAGCATGCATAAAAACAGTTTGCTCTAGATGCAGGAGCTTTGCTGTCTAGGGATTGTCAGCTGAAGTGTGTTTCTTTGTTTTCAGTATTGCCCAAATTTGAAGTTGAGGTCAGAGCACCAGGGACAATAACTATTGCGGACGATCAATTTCAAGTGACTGCATGTGCAAAGTAAGTGTTCACTCAGATTTATCCCCACAGGGTAAACTAATGTAAGTTTAATCATGAAATGCTAGTTATACACTTCTAGTAAACTTATTGTAGAAAATTTTAAATGTTTGATAAATATAAAGAAAAGCATAAAAACAAACTACAGTATAGTCTACCAATCATATTATAGCTGACTTTCCTCTAATACTTTGTGAAAATTTCCCCCGGTTATATTTATTCTTTTCTTTCAAATTTATCTAATATTTAAAAAACACATGTCTCTACGCTTTGCTAGTCTTTCTATCTATTCCAGTTCCTTACCTTGTAAGCATATCTTCATATGCGAATGGCAATTTTACTTAATTATTGTTCTACTGTATAACATGTAATCTGTTACATTGTACTTTCTAGTAATTAAAACATTGGTAGTAAGTATCTTCTGAAAAACTGTGTAATAACCTGATTTAGAACTGAAAATTGTTTACTTAAGAAGGATTTCACTAAAGGTAATTACCAAGTCAAAATGTATACTATTCTTTTAGTCTTTTAAATGTCATGTTGCTTACCTAACTCCAGCTACTGGTATGAAAGAACGTACTGGCTTCACTGAATCTTTACTGTCATTGAGTGTTCTCATTTTTAAAAAGGAAGGGAGGGAGGAAGGAAAGAAAATTAGCTATTAAAATATCATAGAAATAAAGAAGTTTATAATTTAGTTTGAATTTGAGTTCCCTAACATAAAAACATCTTATCTGCTCTTGGGAACATTTATCTTCTATTTGGGAAATTATTTCTGACACTCTTTATCCTTTCTGTGATATCTTTTTTTAAAATTTAACAATAATGTAAAACAGCTAATATTCATTAGATGTCAGCTACAAAAATTATTCCCACAATGTCATGAGATGGGGGTTGTCATCAACTCATTTTTATAGTGAAAGATAAGCCATGAGTATTGGGATAACATCAGCTTTGTGAATCTTCTGATGACCAGATAGTTACACCTGGGCAGTTTAGCTTCACAGTTATTCTGTCGATTGATAACTGTGCCATCCTATGAACAATCACCCGGTGAGAGCTGTTGAATGCTTCAACAGGAGACATAGAAATACTAACCTTTGGATATTTTTGAATGTTGAAGCTGCAGTCTGGAAAGGGCTACCTGGTGAACACATGAGGGGGTTCTTCATAATCTCCCCCAAGGAATCTTGGAATCAGGTCTGTCTCTCTCAGAGAAGGATCATGACATTTCTGAGTTTCAGTGCAGTGTTCCAGAAAGCTCATTTTCCAATACTTCTGACAGATTACATATATTTTAAATTTTTACTCATTAAGTTTTTCTTCACTAATATTTTAAATCATCTAAAACTGAATGTAACTGTGAACTTGGTTTTGTTTGTTTGTTTGTTTGTTTTGAAAATCAGTCGTGTCCTCTTCATAAATCAAATGCCCAAATTTGCCTAAATTCTGTGGAGAAAATAGCCTCATAGCTGATTAGATGGAAGCACTCAGTTTCAAGGCTTCATGTTTGATTTCTGATGAAGTCCATACATGTCACTATGATTCTGCCCATTTGTGATCATGGATACACATTTTCTCACTAGGTACACCTATGGCCAGTCTGTGCAGGGGAAAGCCCAGATCCGAGTGTGCAGAGAATTTTCCTCCTCTGGGTATTGTGAGAGTGATAATAAGGAAATATGCGAGCAGTTCACTGCACAGGTACAGTCCATGGGCTTGCTCCACAGGCATGTTCTCACTCCGCTTCTCAGAGTGATTTTATTCCTCTTACAAAAAGATTCACAGCACTTTCCTTGTGTGGCTCCAGAGGTTAGAGCTAAGTGAGGTGAAGAACATGGAGATAACACAATGTTTAAAATAATGCCTTGGCTTCTAGGTGCTTTTTCCTGTAGGTTTTTAGACCTACAAAGGAGCTCGTTGGTTTCCTCATGTTCTGTACTATCTGGATGGTCTCCACAATCTTTCCTTGGAGGATCCTTTCTCAGGCAGTTCATTTGGAAACAGCTGCAATCCAGAGTGTTCTGTGTGCATAGACCTCTGTTCTCCTCCATTCTAAATCCTGTTTATGAAAATCTCACCTTTTCTCCCAGGTTTTATCATCATTAATATATTTTTGTCTATAAGTCATTGATCTTAATTTTCATCTTTTTAATTCCTTTTTAAAATATATTTTTATCCATGTGCACACATATGTCTACATGATGGATGTAATAATACTGCCTAGACCAAGTGATAGTTTTGAGGGTCAAATGAGTTAGTGTACCCTTCTCATGTCTAAACTAAAAAAGTTAGTTTTTAAAAAAATAATTAATTTTACATTTTTTAAATTATTGTTGTTAGTAGTGAAAAAGTACATTTCCCCTATTTCAAATAATAGACTTAACAAGTATTGATGTACTTCATTTAAAGGGTGTTGGTCCATCTGCTGTTAGTGTTTCTTCTGGGGGTGGGGGCTTCTTAATTCTTAGGATATGGTTAGCTTTATTCTCCTCCTTTAATTGTTTCGTGCCTACGTTACTTTGAGAAGAATGTCCTTGAGTCTGTAAAGTATGGATATCTCCCTCCTCTTGATGTACATCTTCTCCCACTCCATCTTCCTGCTTTAACTCTTTTTTTTTTTTATTGGTTTAGTAACTTACTGAGGGAGACCTGGGTGTGCAGGGATGGGATGTACCCGTGCTGAAATTCCATGAGACTCTTGGATCCCTAACTTTTTTCATTATTCCTCTGTTTGTTTTTTCAGCTGAAAGATGGCTGTATTTCTCAAACTGTCAATACAAAAGTCTTCCAACTATACCGCTCTGGATTTTTCATGGCATTTAATGTTAATGTAATGGTTACAGAACTTGGAACAGGTAATGATAGTATTTTATGGACAACTTGGGAATACATGGTGGCCCACGAGAAAAAAAAATGGAGTTAGTAACATCATTTATTAATTATGAATTAATTACTGCTCAAAATGGTAAAAAGAAGCATCTTTAAAGGTGGCTTTGTGGGGAATGGAACCACTGAATCCATAGCCTCACATCTACTTAGGCAACAAGCATTCTACCACTAAGATACATGCCCTGCCCTGATGGAGTTTGTGCAAATGATTAATTCCTTCCTGACACTATGTTTCATCATTTCTTACAGGTGTGCAAATCAGTAAAACACACCCTATTTTTATTACGTCAGTGCTTGGCAGCGTGAGATTTGAGAACATGGACTTTTTCTACAGGAGAGGGATCACTTATTTTGGAACCGTAGGTTTGACTAGACTTTTAAGAGGACCTTGTTTGGTTTTCTTTGTCCACAGATTATCCCTTGAAATTTTCTAGACACTCTTTTCTAGGCTCACAATCAACTTTTAACATTACTATGTCTGGTATGTTTGGAAAGTTCTAGGCTAAAAGAAAGCCGTGTATAAAATGGCAGCCTCTCCCCTTTCATATGTAAATACATCTATACCGTTAGTTGATGGGTATTTCTAGTCACTGTAACTTCTGTTGAGTAATCACTATCATGAATTGAAATTTTCCTGTAGAAATGAGAAGTTTTGTGTCATAAGAGCATTAACTTTTCTGCTTTTGTACAGCTTAGATTTTCTGGTCCTGATGATACACCGATGGGGAGCAAACTTTTGCAGCTGGAGCTCAATGGCAAATTTCTAGGAAATTACACCACAGATGGGAACGGGGAAGCTCGATTTTCCATTAATACTTCAGAGATAGTCGATGCACAGATCAGCCTGAAAGTAAGACATCCAAGGGCTGGCAGAGACTGTGAGGGATCCCGCAGAGGCCCAGTGCTGGGGACTCAGGGCGTGAGAAGGCTCTTTCTTAGAGGGTAGGGTATTTTCTGTAACTTGCCTGTCCCTTACTGAAGGGACTCGCTCAGAGCAGAGTTCAGACAGTGAGATACTAGTGTTCTCTTACAGTGACTCTATCATGACCAACATTTCTGCTGTGGAAGTAGAAGCAACATGTAAGAAGATCTGGTCTCTTCCCGGACATAATTCTGTGCATAGATGGGAGGTGCTATGAGACCTCCTTCCTGTTAAACAGTTAAACAGTTTGTCATGGCTCATGTACAGGTGGAGGACACAGAACTTATATCCAGTTCTCTGACTAATTAAAAGTAAAAAGCCAGAACATAGTAGAGATGCCTGTAATTAAAGGTAAAAAGCCAGAATGTGGTAGTGATGCCTGTAGTTCTAGCACCCAAGATGCTGAGACAGGAGAATCTCGAGTTGCAGGCCACACTGGGCTACATAGTCAATCATGCCCCAACCCTCCAGCAGACGTACTTAAAAAATAAAAAACCTAACAGTTCACTGTTGGTCCAATTAGACAGTCATATAACCACGATCATTTTTTATATACAAGAAAGAGAGAATGGCATCATTATCTTACTTTGCATGAGTCAGTTCTCTCCTTCCACCACAACGGCCCCACAAATCAAGCTTGGATGGTCAGGCTTGGTAGCAAGTGCCCTTGCATGCTGAGCCATCATCCAGCCTCCCAGATAACAGCTGTGAGCCAGGTTCCTCCCTACTGACGAGAAGCCTTGCTTGCTCAAGTATACCCCTGTCTTTGGAATGGTCCGTCATTCTAAAGTCTTTCCTTTGTTCCTGTCATGTCAGGCCATGTATGTCCGACCTGGAACCTGCCATCGTCCCAGCTGGTTGGACCCTGAGTATTTGGATGGCTACTTCTCGGTCTCCCGCTTTTACTCCCAAACCAACAGCTTCCTGAAGATCGTTGCTGAGTCCAAGCAGCTCCCATGTGATCGAGAGAAGATGGTTTCCGTACTTTACTCCCTAAACCCTGAGGCCTACAAGGATGACTCAGGTGTAAACTTCTTCTATTTGGTAAGTCTCGGCTGGTGGATCTGTCTATTCAGCACAATCTGGTTGAGGAGGTGAAATCTCAGGCCTTGTTAATCTGAGTGAGCTCTATCTACCCACTTTGCTGTTGAATACTCCTGGCTCCAAGAACACAGGAACAGGCCTGCAAAATGGTCCCAGGCAATCTGGGACTCATATTGCAGCACTTGCTTCTTCGACCAGCTTGTTATACTTCACATCAATTATTTATGAGCATGTGTGAGGGTGAGTAACATGGAAAGTTCAAAATGATGAACAGTAAAGGAGGCTGTTCTCATTTCCTCTCGTCAAGGCTTCCCGGAGAGAGAAACCAGACTTGGAAATGAAGACATTCCTACTTCCATCCCCCACTCTCTCCTAGCTGTCAAACACGTGTGTCCACCTTGGACACGTTGTTCAGACTCTCTAAGACCTGGCGTTCTCAGCTGTATATTCCTAACTGGAAACAATAGTGGAATCAATTACTCACCAACTAGAGTAGCAGGCTTGAGGCACTGGTAAAGAGTTTCATGTGTATCAAGTCACCTGGTCAGCCTTATGGGCATTCCTTCACAGCCTGCAACAGAGACAAATGGATAGACAATGGGCAGATTAAATCACCAGCTTGCATGTGCATTAGATGGCTTCACAAAGTTTCTGGAATTTTCTCTGTTCCAACCCAAGATATGTGAAGTTCCCTTTTAATATTTGTTAGTGTAAGCTGCCTTGTTACAGGACAGAACAGTCACTAGATCAGTCCACGATGACATGACATGATGTTAGCTGAAATATTCACCCAGGGTCAGTCCACGATGACATGGTATGATATTAGCAGCAATATTCACACAGGGTCAGTCCACGATGACATACATGATGTTAGCTGCAATATTCACATGGGGTCACTCCACGATGACATGGTATGATATTAGCAGCAATACTCACAGAGGGTTTTCTTTGTCTGGTACAGGTGATGGCGAGAGGAAGCATCTTTCTCAGTGGACAGAAAGAAGTCAGAAGCCAAGGTAGATACGATGTACTTGCTTTGAAATATGCATCTTATCTTCATGCTTTTTTCTAGAAGTTAGGAAGGGCACTTATTTCCACTTGCAGTTGGAGGGTAGTAGATAGCATGGCTTGAGATAACATACGGAATAGTTTGAACAGGAGATTGCTACCTTTCTATCATATCATCTTGTTCTAGTTTGCTTGCTGTTGCTGTATAAAACACTGACCAAAAGAAACCTGGAAAGGAAAGGGTTATTCATCTTATATGTCCATCATGGAGGGAACTGGGGGCAGGAACTCAAGGCAGGAACCTAGGGCAGGAATTGGAGCAGAGACCATGGAAGAACACTGCTTACCGACTTGCCCAGCCTGCTTTCTTATACCTCCCAACTCTATCTACATCCTACTTCACAAATGAGTCTGTCAGATACGCTAAGCCTATAGGCTGAAGATGATGTCCCAACACTGCGGAGAAACCTCAGGTGACTGTCCAAGCAGCTGGCTGTTTCTGTCACAAATTTTTGGAAGTTGCTTGCATGTACTTCCTGTTTTTATTTTTGTTAGCTAATATTATTTCCTTCTTGGGTCTCTGAGGGAGTTGAAGATTAGTTAGTTATGGTTGAAGATTAATTAGGATAGAAAGTGAATTAGATACAATAGGCTAGATAATGGAATTATTTTCTCTGAATTTGTCAAATACAAATGAACTAGACATTGTTTAGGTATTTATTACTTGTATATATTGAATATAGTTACTGTACTTTTGTATATAGTTTTTCTTATGTTAGTTATCAGAACTGGCACAAACCGGAGTGGACTGGGCCCTCCCACATCAATCATTAGTCAAGAAAATGTTCCTATAGATATGCCCACAGGCCAGTCAGATGAAGGCAATTCCTTAATTGGCTTCCTCTTCCCAGGTGACTCTAGTTTGTGTCAAGTTGACAAGAATTAGCTGGTACCATTTCTATCAGTTAATCCTGTATATTATAGAGTGATGTCTAAGACATTCCTATTGTAATATCGTCTTCGTCTGCGTATAAGTCCCCACGTCTTATTTGCATTTAAAGAAGGCCCAGTTTACTTTTTCTGTCCACAAACCATTCTCTTTCATCTAAGAAAACTCAGAGATGTAAGTTAGAGCCAACACCATGTCGTCTGTGAATTGCCTGTTCCCACAGCCTGGAGTGGAAACTTCTCTTTCCCAATCAGCATCAGTGCTGATCTGGCACCAGAGGCTGTCCTCTTTGTCTACACCCTCCACCCCAGTGGCGAAATCGTTGCCGATAGTGTCAGACTCCAGATTGACAAGTGCTTTAAAAACAAGGTGATGCTTCTTATATCAGCAGAGTGAGCATTTTGCTTCCTGCCACCTCCTTTGTAACATTGGTCTTTACATTCATTCGCTTATTGAGTGTGTGTGTGTGTGTGTGTGTGTGTGTGTGTGTGTGTGTGTGCATGCACACATGCATGCGTGCCCATGAAGTGAGCGTGTGGAGATCAGGAGACAGTTTGCAGGACTCCGTTCTCTCCTTCTACTGTGTGGCTTCCAGAGATCGACCTCAAGCTACTAATAGTGCTTGGTAGCAAGCACTCTTACCTACTGAGCCATTTTGACAGCCCTGTCTCTGTCTGACCACCTCATAATCTTTACACAGTAATCTCATGGTTAAATTGCTAAAGGATGGGCGTCGTGAATAGTTATCTTGAAGATGCCTGATCATGAGAAGCTGAGGCATGGTGAAAGGAGTTATTCCTACAGGGAACTGAGAATGGACAGGAGAATGTCATGATTTGTTTGGAAACGACAAGATTTATTCGCATTTTCTTCATGTGTAATGATCTCTATCCTCATTGCTTTCCTTCCTCTACCCCAGGTTAGCATTAAATTCTCAAAGGAGCAGGACCTGCCCGGCTCCACCACCCGTCTACGTCTTCAAGCAGCCCCTGACTCCTTCTGTGCCCTGCGAGCAGTGGACAAAAGTGTCCTTCTGCTGAAACCTGAACAAGAATTGTCACCCGACATGGTAAGCACCCTTGTTCCTCAGTGTCCCTGAGCTGGGTGGATGCACGCCTTGCCCTTCGAGGATACCTTTACTTGTGATGGGACTTCTTGAAAGCATCAGTCTTTGCCTCTGTGCTCCTTCCTCAGTTACCAGCATAGGCCATTAACTACGCGAGTTTCCTGTCTAGCATTCACAGTAATGCAGAACACTATAGATGATTATAACAGGTTAAGAGCTCTAAAACAATGAGGTATTTTAAAATCGCAGTGAGAGAGTTTTTCAGTGGTCTCTGTGCACTTTGACAATGTCAGATTATAAGTATATTATAATATACTTATATTAGATTATAAGTATATTATAATCTGACAATGTCAGATTATATTCTCAGCTATCACTAACTTCCTGGCCCAGGATGACCCGGGCCTATCTTTATCTTCTTTGTACCAGCCTTAAAAACTGTTTTTTGTTTTTTTTCTGGGAGCCCTGGTTCCTTGAATATGAAATATTTGTCTAGTTCATCTTTTTTAGGTAAAATACATCCAGTTGACATGTCATCTCTGTTCAAGTGACATGAGACACAGCCCTGGACTGAATTTATATTTATTATGTTTGTTTCTCAGTTTTACATTCCATTCCACTGGATTTTCCTTTCCTATGTCAGTCCCACAGCTCTAATGATAAAGATTAATTTTTCAGTAGGAATCAACTCCTTTGGCCAGGGAACTCCAAGCTTCTCAACTCCAGGCCACCCCTTGCTCTTCTAGTTGATTTTTAATATCAACTTACTTCTAACTTCTCTGGCTCAAGGAGGGAATGTTGATGGGTATTTTCCTGGGATTTACAAATTAACTTCAGCATTGCCCCCTGATGGGGGAATAGTGTAACTCAGAATTTGGCTTTTTATTTTTCCAAGTATGGTTTTTTCTGTCACTTATGAACTAAAGTTTAAATAGTTTTCATATGTAAATTCTTTGTTTATTCATAAGGGTGTCATAACAACTCTGTTGCTGTTGTAAAAAGGTTTTCTCCTACTACATATTCTATTGTTACTTATGTGCCCAGCAGCTGTTCTGAATAATAATTTACATTTTGCTAAATTGCTAAATTCCTTTATTAATTGAATTATATTTTCATTGGTTCTCTGTTTCTGTGCATTACATTGCCATCAAGTAGAAAGTTTTCTTTTTCTCACACTCCCTCCCTTTTCCTTTCCTCACTCCTTCCCTCCCTCCCTCCCTCCCTCCTTCCCATGCCTCCTTGCATGATTCCAGCACAGTATTCCATCGTGGGGACAGCAGCATCCTTTCCTCATTCTTACCTAAGTAGAAACCACAGTGGAACTTGAGCTCCTAGTGACTTACGTAGGACAGTCTCTTCACAACTTTCCATGCTTGTTTTATAAAAGTTGGTTTTGTGGAAAACGAAGGAAGTCTTTATGACTTAAGAAATACGTTCTCTGTATCAACTGTTATGTTCCTTTATGTTTAATTATATTTTTATACTTTTTTCCTTATTAGTTACTGGCTGGCCCATTATTTGCTGAGTTATCAGCTACATGTAAAGTGGATTTTGTAGGGGGTTGGTTTGGTTTGGTTTGGGTTTTGATACTCTGCCACATTATTCTTACTTATATTTTGTTGTTGCTGTTTTTACCAGGATTTTAAAAATCAATCGCTTACATTAGTGTAGTAAAGCAGGTTAGATGTCTAAGCTTTTTTCTCCGCTGTCACTGTCTGTTGTTCGCTGTGGTGGTGGACTGGAGCCAGAATGGGTGCACGCAGAGCAAGGTCTTCATCGCTAAACTGTGTCCCCAGCCCTGCTCCCCACCTTCAACCCCCTGTAGACCCCAATGTGTAGTGATTTCTCCATTTTCGTTTTTCAGAAATTTCTTTTTCTTCTGTTTACAGTTACCCTTTTATGCCAAAAATTCACATACTGGGACTTTTGTAATTACATGTAAAAGACAATTTATCTTGGATTACTCTGTTATTTTAGGTTATACTGCTTCATGTTCAGTAATATTTCTATTTTATAAAACCCTCCAGTGTTATTGCTCTGCTCAGATATGGGTTTTGAAATGTTTATGTGTGTTAAGAAGATGTAATTCCCGCCGGGCAGTGGTGGCGTACACCTTTAATCCCAGCACTAGGGAGGCAGAGGCAGGCAGATTTCTGTGAGTTCGAGGCCAGCCTGGTCTCCAAAGCAAGTTCCAGGAAAGGAGCAAAGCTACACAGAGAAACCCTGTCTCGAAAACAAACAAACAAAAAAAGATGTCATTCCTATTATCAGCTTATTTTATACCTATGATATATGAATATATGTATGTGTGTGTGTGTGAGTGAGAGAGAGAGAGAGAGGGAGGAAGGGGGAGAGGGAGAGGGAGAGAGAGAGAGGGAGAGAGAGAGAGAGAGAGAGAGAGAGAGAGAGAGAGAGAGAGAGAGAGAGAGAGAGACTCACTATGTAGCCCTGGCTATCCTAAAACTGGCTATGTAGACCAGGCTGGCCTCAAACTCACAGAGATCCACCTGCCTCTGCCTCTGAGTGCTGGGATTAGAGGTGTGCACCATCACACACAGCTTTGAAATTTTATTGTAACAACTTTCTCAAGAATAGTATGGCTTCACTTTTTTCTTGTTTAACCTTGAAACCCAGCCAGTCATTCCAAGTAACAGCCCCTGACTCCCACCAGTGACCAGCTCAACCATCAATAGTCTTGACAGCTTCCTTCTTTCCTTTTCTCACATCTTAAAGGTGTATCTTTCCTTCCTTGGAGAATATATCATGCTTAGAACTTTGTTTCTCTCTTGTTCCCTGAGCTATCCCAATTTCCAAGTCATCTTTCGGTTACCTAAATCATATTCTCTGCTAGCTTCCTCAGAAAGGCACATGAATTCTGTGACACTTTCATCCTCAGAATCATTCTTCTAAAGCCTTGACATAGAAGATGGGCATGGTGGTGGACACCTGTGACCTTAGCACTTGAGAGGTAAAGGCAGGAGGATCAGGAGATGAGGGCCAACCTCAGCTACTTGAGGCCTATCTCAAAAAACAAGACAAACAGAAACTTTTAAAAATCAAGAATGCCTTACTATGTGAAAGACAGGTTAAGGGATGATGTGCTTTTCTTTAGGGTTCCTGAGAACCCTGCCCCGCCATACCTCACTGAGAACATTGTTTTAAGGAACTGTGCAGTCAGACTAACTTATTTCCTGTGGTAGGTTATTTGATCTTTTTGCCTGGGGGCCTTGGAGGGCTCCCCCCCTTTATAAATTTTAGTAAAATATCACTGAGGATTTATTGTGTGAGGAAAATCCAAAGCTTAGCCTGAGTTATGACTTTAAAATTAAACATTTTTTCATTCTTCCCTGTCCTGAAATGTTTCACTCATGTGTTGGCTCTTTTTGATGTGCTCTCATGCTCTTGTGCTGGCCTGTGACCTGCTTTGATTCTCTCTTTTTGCCTTTGTTCCCTATCTCTCTTCTATCAGCTTGGTGTGCTGGGTGTGGTGGTGTGCATCTGTATCCTCTTTACTTGGGAGACAGACACAGGAGTTCACGGCCACTCAGAAAACAGAAGCAAATAAACAATGGATGGTTTCTGTCAGTCTTTTTTTTTTCCCTTGGGGTCTTTAGTCTTTAGAGTTCATGTCTGATATTTTTGTCATTTCTAAGTTAATTCTCAATTATTTCTTCCTTGTTTTTGCCCATTTTTACCCTTTTTTTGTTGAATTTCAGATTCGTGATTTTTTAAAATACCTTGCTTGTCAATTTGGGAATATTTCCTTTATTCTGAAATATCTGAGGAATGCTTGTCTCTATTTGATAATCATTTGGGCTGAGAAGTTTCATTAGCTACAGTGTGTCCCCTGTTTTATCCTGTTACATCCTTCCTTCCCTTCAGCACCAGCTCTGAGGGCCAGTGCTCTCCTCTGCTCACACCACTGTTCTCCATCAGTTATACCCACCTGATAGCCGCCCCCTGTCAGTCATGCATTTCAGTGAATGGAAGCGGCCCCTTCACTCCAGGTCCTTCCCATTTCCTGGGAGCTATTGTGTCCAGGGAAGATGGTTCATGTTGTGACACAAGCTGTTCGAGTGGTTGTTGTTGTTGTTGTTGTTGTTGTTTTCAGAGCTGAGGACCGAGCCCAGGGCCTTGTGCTTGCTAGGCAAGTGCTCTACCACTGAGCTAAATCCCCAATCCCGAGTATTTTTTAACCAGAGTTAATTTGATATGTGTTTCTTCTCATTTCTTTGTGTCATTCTCCCTTTGTGCATGTAGTGTCTTACACTTTCCTCCAGTTTTACATACCCTCGATTTTTTTCAGTCTTTCAGAACATGGCATGCATAATTCTACCAACAACTAGAAGATTACAGGGATAGTCACCATCCCTCACAATGGCGAAAGTATAAGTCATTGATCTCACTCCTTGTTCACTTTTTTATTGGTGCATATTTGTTGCACATAGCACCAGGCTTCATAAGAATATTTTCATACTGGTATATAAAGTGCTTTGATTGCTTGTTCATTCCTTTCATTCCTTGATGCTGTATTTTAGCTGGATGGTTTTAATATGTTAATACTTGGATTCAAGCAGTTGACATCACCCTCCAGGTCTGAGAGCTCTACTATTACAACTTCAGGTAGTTATCTGTGTGCTAGGCTTTGGAAAAACCAAGAGTTCTCAAAGACCTCATGCTTATTTGCTATCCCAAATCCTGCACCATCAGCCAGAAAAGCTTGCAAATAGCATGGACTGCATAAAACAAAATTAGTCTCCTCATTTGAATTTTTGGAAAGTTGACTCAGAAATAAACCATTATGACACAAATTTTTCCAATCTTATAATTATGCAAGGGATGCTTAAAATCACCAAGGACCATATCTTCCTCTCCTAGGTATACAACCTGCTCCCAAATATCTATCAATATGGTTACTTCTACCACGGTCTCAACCTGGATGATGATAAAGTAGACCCCTGCATCCCTCAGAAGGAATTGTTCCACAATGGACTGTATTATACACCTGCAAGCAATGTTTGGGATGGAGACATTGCTAATCTTCTCAGGGTAAGATCACACAGATAAGTCTGCAGAACATCCCTATGGTAGCTTTAGTGGTCAGGCCCCCATACCATGTCTCTCTCACTGTGCAGATTCTTTCTATACTGTGCTGACAGAGTACTCATAAAAAAAAAAAAGGCATGCTAATCCCGTTGGCTTTTTTCTGTTTGCTGGAAAGAAATTACGTGGCAAAAATCATGGAACCCAAGATGAGAAGCAATGAGATGGTGTTCAATGTATTGCAATACCTCTCATGCATCAATAGTTAAAACAAGAAGATAACTCACAGTCTGTATTCCACATAAGCAGAGGCTGTCAGCTACATGTGCTCAGGGGTCATCCAAGATCTTTATGATCAGAATCCTAGGGTTTAAGAAGAGGACACTGAGTCAGACAAGCTTTAGTTCAAGTCCCAACTCTGCTGTTTACTGTGTGTGCACTGTGTGTAGACATGCATGTGCATGTGTGCATGCATGTTTGCTGTTAATTAAGACAGTAGTGGTGCTGATTTCTTGTATTCCCTTAAGCATAAGTGGAGAAAAATGAAAATAGTAGCACATTAATAATAATAAAAATAATAGTGATTATTGGTTTTCTTCCAAATTATGAATTTTTTGTAAGTCAAATTAAGGAGACTTATTTCTATGGCACTGGATCATGGCTAACACAGAAAATATTATATTTATTGTCTGTTTACTGTGACTGTAGGCCTTTCATGGTTTTCTCAGGAAAGTAATGTAAAACTTTTCATTTCTTTCTCTGAAAGGACATAGGTCTGAAAATCTTTACTAATTTCCATTACCGGAAACCGGAACTGTGTTCATCCCAGGAAAACCTGCACTTGCTGAGGACATTTGATGACCCAAGAGAACCGGTGATGATGTACGGCGGGGGCGCTCTGGCTGCTTCTGCCTGTGGGTAATCTAGAATTTCCTGTTAGAGTAACATTCAGTAGAATTCTTTGGATTGGGTCTATATAAGATAAAACCATGTCAAACACAGATCTTGTAGATGATTTATGATGGTTTGGAGTAGGAACTAGAATAACCACTGTTCAACAAGACAGGCTGGAAATAGCTTTGACCATAAAGAATAATTAGCTTCTGACATAGAAGAAGAAAAGAAGAAGGAGGAGAAGGAGAAGGAGAAGGAGAAGGAGAAGAAAGAAGAAGAAGAAGAAGAGGAGGAGGAGGAGGAGGAGGAGGAGGAAGAAGAAGAAGAAGAAGAAAAGAAGAAGAAGACAAGGGTTTCTCCCCCTTTTTTTTCGAGACAGGGTTTCTCTTTGTAGCCCTGGCTATCCTAGAACTCGCTCTGTAGATGAGACTGGGCTCGAACTCGCAGATATCTGCCTGCCTCTGCCTCCTGAGTGCTGGGATTAAAGGCGTGCGCCATTGCCGCCCAGCTCATTACCTTTTTAAATTTTTGTTTGTTTGTTTCTTAAGATAGGGTCTTTCTCTGTAGCCCAGGCTGGCCTCAAAATAGACATGAAGTCAACTATACAGGATAACGCAAGCAGCAACTAGACATGGTGTAAGACAGCTCAACAACACTTACTTGTTTGTGTTGAAAAAGGATCTCACATAGCCCAGGCTGGCCTCAAACTTGTTATGTAGTCAAGGATGACCTTGAACCTCTGATTATCTTGATTCAAATGCTGGGGTTTGCAAGCATACACCACCACGTCCAGCTCTATAGTGGCTATTTTGATGTAAAACACTGACTAAGTGCATCACACGCAGCCTACAGGCCACTCTTGTAAAGGAAAATGTTCTGGAGAATTAGAACTATTAATACCACTGAAATTTTCCACAAAAATAATGCCAGTGGGCAGAGTTGGCAGGTACGGGCATGTCAGTCAAGAGTCAGGGCAAAGATTTAATTCATCCAGATTTGGCTATAGGTGATTTGTTGTTTGGTGTTGCTTTTAAACAAATACAGAAATTTGACCATCAAAATAGCTGATATTTGATTTTATCAGTATTAAGCCCTAGGAGCAAATTTCTCTATCACCTCTTGCTATCACATACTAGGCCTGATCTACTTAAGAGCTCAACTCCAGGGCCTGGGAGATGGCTCAGCAGGTAAAGTACCTGCTGTGCAGTCCTGAGGACCTGAGTTCAATCCCTCACACCCACCTAAATGCCAGCCATTCCAGTGCACATCTGTCATCTGTCACCCTAGTGCTCCAGTGCACATCTGTCAGTCACCCTAGCGCTCCAGTGCACATCTGTCTGTCAACCTAGTGCTCAGGAGCAGAGATGGGTAGTCTTTGGGGATTATTGGCCAGCCAGTTGAGCTGACCCTCTAAGTGCAGATTCAGTGAGACCCTGCCTCAGAAGTCAAGAGAGAAAAGCAAGTGAGGAAATCAACCTGTCCACTGGCACCTTCACAGGTGGTCATACTGCACACACACACACACACACACACACACACACACAGCTTAACTAGGCATGAGGCACTGAAGTCCAGCACATAGTTTTGCTCTTTCTACAGAGGTCATTTCTTTGCATCTCTCGTTTTAGCTCGTGATGCCGTAGACAGCATCAACCACGCAGAACTGGCCATCAAAGAGACAGTCAGGACATACTTCCCCAAGACCTGGATATGGGACCTCGTCAGTGTAGAGTGAGTTTTATTGTTCTGTTACTTCTTAGTGTTTTTATTAAACAGATTTCTCCCCTGTATGCCTCTATCTCTGTTTTTCTTCTCTTGATTTGATAACTTTTAGTCCTGGGCAATAAAGTAGTGAGGTATTTATTTTTTTTAAAAAGCCCTTCAGATGTGCGTCCTGATTACATGTTTGATGGTTTGATTGCTTATTTGTTCTGTAAACTTTACTTTTCCACAAAACCTTCACTCCTATAAATTCCATGCAGGTAGATATATGCTACCTCAAATTTTTAAAAAAGGTATTTATAGAAACATGACATGTCTAAGGTTCTGTTCTACAGACACTTCAACTAGGGCTCTGTAACAGTGCCTTACCTAAACGCCTGAAGTCTTTTCCAAACCTTTGTCACCGTGTTTGTGTGTGTCCTGCATAAACTCGGGTTGCCACTTAGAGGACATGTGTCATCCACAGCCTATCTTTCCAGTTCCTCAGGTTCAGCAAATGCCTCATTCCTTGTCCCCGATACTGTAACCCAATGGGAGGCCAGCGCCTTCTGTGTGAACGGTGATGCTGGGTTTGGCATCTCACCCAAAGCATATCTACAGATCTCCCAGCCCTTCTTCGTTGAAATCTCCTCACCCTTTTCTGTCGTTCAAAATGAACAGAGTGACGTGGTAGTCACTGTCTTCAGCTACCTGACCACGTGTGTAGAGGTAAGTCACCTCCTTTAATCTGGAGACAAACATCCAGCAGACTAAATTATTCACTATTGTTTTCATTAAATATCACCACAGTCTATTAACAACTGAAAATTCATACTATAAGGAAGTCATTTCTTTCTATAATCTTTAGAAATAATTATTTAAATTTCTAATTTTATTTTCTGAGTATGATTGTTGTGCCTACATGTATGCACATGCACCATGTGCATTTCTGGTGCCCACAGAGGTCAGAAAAGGACATCAGATCCCCTCGAATTGACCTTATTGGCTGTTGTGAGCTGCCACGTGATGATGCTGAGAACTGAACCCATGTCCTTTGCAAAAGCAACAAGTGCTCTCTCTCACCTTCTGAGTGAACTCTGCAGCCCCAGAAATAATGGTTTTAAATCACACACAACAATGACTTGAAATTTTAGTGAGAATGACACTTTGTGATGACCCACATTCTACTATTTTGTGAACTTTGAATGAGTCCTTGGGCATCTTTTCATTTTGCTAAGTTAAAATAAAGAAAACCTTAAGATGAAAAATGTCAGGTTCTATGAAGATGTTGAAGAAACCCTTGTGTGATAAACTGTAGAATTTCAGGCAAAGGAGAGAGAAAGCTTAAAGTTCTACCCTTGTGGCCATTATTCTGTTTTCAGATTTCTGTTCGGCTAGAAGCATCTGAGGATTATGAAGCAAATAGCAACACCCTGAGTACCAATGGCAGTGATGTTCTCCAGGCTGGAGAACAGAAAACATATGTCTGGACCATTATACCAAAAACACTGGGTAAGCAGCAGTCCTTCATGACCCACATTGTATCAACCTATGTTTTTCTTAGACTTTCTGAAGAAACATGATTTTCTTCAGCATCGTATTTTTAATTTTCTTTATTCATTTCTCTATATTCAAAATTCTTATAATTTCTCTGTTTAAAAGTATTTTTTATTTTCTGTGTGTATACATGTGCCTGCATGTATGTATGTGCGCCATGTACATGTGGGTGCCTAGCGAATCAGGAACAGGGTGTTCCATTAGAACTTGATGGCTGTGGGTTGCCTTATGTGAGTACTGGGAACAAACCCAGGTCCTCTGCAAGAGCAGCAAGTGCCCTTAAACCCCGAGCTCTCTCTCCAGCCCCATAGCTCCGCATTGCTGCTACTCTGTGGAACAAAACTCCATTCATTCACATAAAAAGTATAATACGATTAAAATATGGCACAAATGCTAATTTGTGTGATTTATCAAATCCACCTATCATATTCCCAAATAAAGACCATATCTCTTTAAGGCTACCCTGATTCTGGCATTTGCTGCTTTTCCTAACAATCACATAAAATGCCACTTTTACAAAAATTTCTCCTCAGCCACCATCATCAATTATGAGAGCCACTGGGTTTTGTTTTGTTTTTTAACTAAATGTACTAAATAGATCACCAACTACTAAAATCCAACCATTGGATCAAATATTGAGAACTTTGCTCTTGTGCCTGGCAGTTTAGGAAAGTAACTTTAGAAGTCTCTTACTGGTGACACTGGAGAAGAAGGAAGTTAAAAGTCCAGTGAACCAGAAATACAAGATGTAGACGATCCTTAGTTTGAGAAGACTTTTAAAAATTATGTCATTAAATTTCTTTTATTCATTTTCTTGTATTCATTGTATTATTACATCAGTGGAGAATATAAGATGTTTTTAAATTCAGCTGTGATGTTGATTCACCTCAGATCATTTTTCTATTAGACTTAAACTTTAACTCTTATGCTATGTAAGATCTTCAAATATTTTGCTCTGGAAAGTGAGACAGAACAGTGCACTCACTACGACGTCTTTGTGGTGCTCAACAGCTGTGCAAAGCAAAAAAAAATGAGCAGAACTCACAAAAAAGAAACAGAAACAATATGTTGATTATGTTTATAGCACACAGGCGATATTAAGCCTTGTGAGTAGCTTTCCCAATCCTCCAATTTCTATAAACAGGGAAACTGGAGATCAGTTTTGATTACATACTGATACCACAGAAATTAAAATCAATGATTTCTTGCCAGCATTCAGTTTATATCTGGTGGTCCTTGTGCTGTATCATATTTTACTGTTTTTCTTTGATCTTAGAAAGCATTAGAAACCCCAGTTATTACCAGGTGTGGTGGTATTTTTCTTTGATCCTGGGAAATATTAGAGGCCCTAGTTATTGCCAGGAGTGGTGGTACAGGCCTTTAGTCCCAGACCTAGGAAGGAAGAGGTGGGCAGATCTCTGTGAATTCTAGGCTTGGTCAATGTAGTGAGCTCCAGGTCAGCCAGGACTACATGGTGAGAACCTATCTCAAAAAAGAAAGAGGAAGGGAAGGGAGGGGAAGGGAGGGAGGGAGAGGGAGAGGGAGCAGGAGAGAGAAAGGAGGGGAGGAAGGGAGGGAGGGAGAGGAGAGAGGAGAGAGAGAGAGAGAGAGAGAGAGAGAGAGAGAGAGAAAGTAAAGTAAAAAAGAAAGAGAAAGAAAGAAAGAAAGAAAGAAAGAAAGAAAGAAAGAAAGAAAGAAAGAAAGAAAGAAAGAAAGAAAGAAAGAAAGAAAGAA